AAATTAGACATAACACAACTGGGCCCTACCCCAGGAGCGGGGAGGGCAAATGGACATTGGTTTGGCCTGTAAATGCTACTCCCACCCCGTGCACACAAAAAGTTAATGAAAGACTCCCAAGTCTCCTTTAGTCACTGGTAGCAGACTTGACTGAAGGGACAGGGTTTTATCAGCAAAATTCAGTACCTGGCAGCTTGGAGGAAGAAGGACAATTCATACCATGCCCCTCCCCTCAAAAACCAAAGTACTGGTATGCAAAGAAACAGGAATGGAGGAAAAAGGCAGGGAGAGAGAAGTTGGAATGGGTGATGAAATGGAGTGGGACTAAGCTCCCTTCCCCCTTAAACTCTCTAGTCATCCAGGCCCGGTATTAAGTCTGCAATGCTGTCCACATAATAGTTGGGCACCAGATCCTTTGCAGCAGGGCTATCGCTGGCCATGTAGGCCTGTGCCTCCTCCAGACGTGACACGCCTGTCAGGGTCAGGACAGTGGCAAGACCACAGTTCTTGCCGAAGAGGATATCTGTCTCCAAGCGATCGCCCACCATAAGGGTGCGGGAGGGGTCCACGCCAAAGCGCTCAACGATGCAGTCAAACATGTAGGTGTTTGGCTTCCCCACCACCAGCGCTTTGCGTCCTGATGCGGTTTCCACAGCAGCTGTGAGGCTCCCTGTCCCTAAAGAGAAGGGAAAAAGAGATGCCTGCACGTCAATAATATTTCAATGACCAAGTACCCTACCAACCAAAGCCAAGGCAGAAGCGCAGCAAAAGCACCTTGGGTGTTCCAGGGAGAGTAGGAAAAGCTACGGGCCCTGCAGCTGGAAATCTCCCGAGGATTGCTGGCCCTTACGCCCAGGATGCAGAGCCACACCTCCTTTCGGGGCATCTAACTTTGGAGAGCAAACCCCACACAACAGTCACCTGGCCCACAACTGGGGATCCTAATGCCCCAGCCCTTATTCAAAGTGGGAGCTGCTGGTCTGGTGCACCATGAGGACTACACTAGATGCACTTTGCTCAAAGGCAGGCTGCCAGCAATTGAATCACTGGAATCTTATGAGGGCAAGAAGCTGCATGCAGGTCCCTTGACACTGGTGGGCAAGTGTTGCCTGTATGTGTGTTGGGTGTGGGTGCAAGGGTCCGTATGTGAGGGCAGCATTGGGGTGAAAGGGTCAACAAGGAGTGTGTGTGTGTGGGGGGGCTCATAGTGATGTGGGGGGGCTGGGAGTGGGTGTAGGGATGAATAGGGGGTGCACATAGGGAAGGATATAGGGAGCATGTGCGGCAGAAGAGGGGGTGTTGGGAGCACCTGTCGGAATGAGAAGGGAGGTGTGAAGGGAGCACATGTAGGAATGATTAAGGGATGCGCATCACAGGGGCAGGTATGGAAGTGTGTGCATGGAGAAGGGTGTGTAGGGGAGCCATGTGGGGCATGTAAGGAAGGTGTCTGTGTGTGGGGTGCAGGCGCACACGTGCATGGGGGGGCAGCCCCAGGCTAGGGGGATGTGAAGGGCTCCTCCCCCCAGGGAGGGCCCCAGTGTAGCAGGTCAGTGCTGGGATGGAAGTCCACCTGCGTGCATGAGGAGGTGCAGCCACAGAGGCTGCAAGCGGGCCTCCCCTCCCTACCCCACGCGGCCCCTCACCCGGGGTGCGCTGCCCGTTGCCAAGTGGGTGCCAGGGGTCGGGGTCGGTGGCTACCAGCAGGCAGCGCGGGTCGCGCAGGTAGGCGCAGGCCTGGGCCAGCTTGGCGAAGGTGAACTGGTCATCGTAGCCCACCAGCACAGCACGCACCGCCGCCTCCTCCTCCTCCTCCCCGGCCAGGCGCAGCCCGGCGGCCC